ACATATGCATTGAAAAGTGCAATATCCACTAAATAAAAAAATATTTTCTTATAACTTTTTACATATTTTCTCATCAGTGAAAAAGAAGATAAGTAATTATCTTGTAGATCTACCCCACCCATGCCATTATTATATTCTAAAACGATATTGGGCTTTGTAACGTTGCTATTATTATTTTTCCACTTCTATCGTTTCAATTATACATCGAAAGTACATCTAATAAACTAATACTTGCTTGCAAAGCAATACTTGCTATACGCAAGCAAAGTTTCAGGTTTCGAAAATATCGCGTTCACGCTCTTGTAATACAGACTGTACTCTACATCTTCTTTTCTTATATGTTTTTCTTACAAAATTAAACATAAGCATTAAAAAGTGCCATATATAATACATTGAATAAAAAAAGATTTTTTTATAACTTTCAACAAAGTTTCTCATAAGTGATAAAAGAAGATAATCGACGACCGACGTGTCCAACACGTCGTTGGAAATTCTGGGACAAAAACGTCTCGACGTGCGTGGCACGTCTTTCCAGCGCAAGAGGTTAAATCACTTCTTTTATATTAAATTTCAGCTTGTTGGAAATTTGGTGTATTCAGTCGTCTATGTGTTTCTGTATGGAGCCGAAATTTTTCGAGATTGAATTTATTGGAAAAGCTTGACACATTTAAAAAATGAGAGCTCGTGAATCGTAATTGTGTTTTTATTAAATTTGAGCTTCTTGAAAATTTCGAGTGTTCAGTAGTCTGGTTTACTTTACCGACCGGTAGCGGTTGAACATCCTACGCACTTCCGACCACTCACTCGGCCACAGATACATCTCTGACACCGGCTCTGTTTAGACTCTAGGCTATCACGCGGGAATATATGCGCTTTTTCTTATACCTGTAGAAATGTGAAATCAAATTTTAACCAATTAGTAGGCTACCGGTCGGTAAACGTCGGCGGCAAAAAAGCGATTAATAGGCTACCACGCACTTCCGACCACTCACTCGGCCACAGATACATCTCTGACACCGGCTCTGTTTAGACTCTAGGCTCTCGTGCGGAAATATATGCGCTTTTTCTTATACCTGTAGAAATGTGAAATCAAATTTTAACCAATTAGTAGGCTACCGGTCGGTAAGCGTCGGCGGCAAAAAAGCGATTAATAGGCTACCGGTCGGTAAGCGTTGGCGGCAGAAAGCCGATTAATAGGCTACCGGTCGGTAAATGTTAGCGGCGAAAAGCCGATTAATAGGCTACCGATCGGTAAAATGTTAAATTATTTTCGCGATCAATTAATTAGAAGAGCTTTCTAACATTGAAAAATTTAGAAACTATGAATTGCAGACGTGTATGAAAGTTTTGTTTTCCTGAATAAATCTTTACTTCCGTTTTGTTTCAGATACATCTACCCGGTGTCGTCGAACGGCGAGACCCAAATATTGAATCCGGAAGTACGTAGCTCCGGACCAAGACCAACCGTCGCCAGAGACCAGATCTTCGCGTTAACGACCATTACAAACAGACTGAAGTCCGCGTTCAACGGACAGAACGTCGATTGGGTAGACACAGGTAAACCATTTGCCTCCCTAATGTTTGTTCTACCTTACTATCCAATTCAATCACCGCCGTACTCAATCGAAATTAACACTCTAAACTCGAACGTTTAATAAGAATTCCATTGTAACGAAATTCGTTACGGTTCAATTTGTATTAAGAGAATTACCACATTCTGTTCAATATTATGATAAAAGCGCGTATGATTTAATCGGAACGTGCAAGCAATAGGTTTAATCGTAGAATCAATATCGGTGTAAGTGGAAAGCGAATTTCAACAATGAGTTGATTAATTGGAAATACCTGTTTGATCAGCGAATTGGTTTCTATTTCTAAGAAGAATAGGAATTCTAGAAATTTATTTATTTACGTCGAACAGCTTCTAGTGGTGTTTACTTCTTTTTCATTTTTTTTTTTTCAATTGACACTTAGTATTGAGTTGCAAATTGTCAAGGTTTTTTTTCTGTTGTGTTGATATAGAGAGAATTTATAAATAGATAGATATGTCTGTTTCTATTGTACTTCGTCTCATTGATGGCGAATTTCAAAGGACAAGTAATGTTTCGCGAGGCTAATTATAGGAATGAAAACGTGACGAGAAAGGTAAATTATCAGGCTACTGTAACGGCTTGATTATCTTATCTCGAGTTTCTGGTCGCAGAAAACGATAGTCGTGAAAGTAATTTTCTTCGAGTATTTGCTTTAACGATTGTCCTAATCCCAATTGGAGGCTCAAACATTATGTTTATTTCCAAGGTTACTAACTAACGTAATTAGAAAATTAAATGTTACTTGGAAAAATTTAAAGAAAGCATTTGATCTCTGTATGTCCAAGGATTTTACGTATTCAAATTTTTTGCTATATTCTTTTTATTAACTTTATCAAGAAATGTGTATATACAGGAGGAGTTGAAGACCTAGATTACACTCTACTACTAACTTCATATCCTTCATAAATATCAATTGTAGCATTGAAACCTAACGAAAACCAACAGAACATTCTCTTCCATAAATTCCAACATAATCTACCATACATCTGCAAATCAAAAATCACCTGAACCTCAAGAAAACCTTCAAAAAAAGCTCCAAAACCTCCACAAACTCAACCACAACCTTCCACACTTCTACAAACCTAAAATCATCCGAACTTCGAGAAAACATCAAGAAGAGCTCTCAAATTCTCCCATTGCACTCTTCCAGACATCTACAAATCAAAAATCATCAGAACCTGAAGAAAACGTCTTCAAGAAGAGCTCAAATCCTCCACTGCACTCTTCCACACATATGCAAACCCAAAATTATCAGAAAATTAGCAAGGAAACCTCCCAGAAGAGATCAAATCCTCCATTGCACTCTTCCACAAACTCCAATACAACCTTCCACAACCTAAGATCTTCAGAAGTTTAAGAAAATCATTTCCAAAAGAGTTCAAGTCATCCACTACACATTTCCACACATCTGCAAACCCAAAATCATCAGAACCTCAGGAAAATCTCCAAGAATAGCTCAAATCCTCCACTGCGCCCTTTCACACATCTGCAAACCCAAAATCATCAGAAACTCAAGAAAACCTCCAAGAAGAGCTCAAATCCTCCATTGCGCTCCTCCAGTTTGCGCATCTGCAAACATCTCCAAGAAAGCTCCAACCTCATCTCCAAAAAGATCCTCTCCCTAGTACTTAGACTACCTATGAAGATCAGCTGAAAATCCCCCGTTTGCACTCTAATTTACAGAAGAGACTGAATGGAACGGTTCTGGAAGTGGTTCTGGGGACAGCATAGACCAAGACCCGATCACAGACGACGAGGACGGTTTCAAGGAAGGTTCCGGCTACGAGCCGAAGTCTTCACCACCTGAAATCCCGAAGCAATCGCCCCCGGCTGTTCATCCGGAAGTTGTGCCTCCCAGAATGGACGTGGAACAGAAGACGAGCTCCAGCAACAACAACAGCACGTCCAGCGTCGACAGTGGCGCGAGCAGACCGAAGATGTCGCTTTCCCGCGCCCTCACGTCGTATCTCGTGCCCATAGTGGTGATATGGTTCGGTGGCTGCCTCACCGAGTGGCTGTGATCATGTGGTTCCCGTGGGACAGCGTGCAGGACGATGTAAATAAAATATTCCTTTAAAACGATATACAAGTCTGTTGCTCGACCAATCGAAACAGAGAGGAAGAGAACGATGATGAGACGCGTGCTCGTTGATCCATCAGGACGATGACACGTTCTTCTTTCGAGAAATTGGAACGAAAACACCTTTAAACGAGGTGTGTCTCGTGCTTGGAAGATTGTCCATGGGATTTATTGACTTCTATTTGATCCTGGGACGAGTCCAAGAGATGCAAAGAAGAGGCGAAGAGGATTTACTTCCGGGACTTTTCACGACTGACGAGCGTGCCTTCAGGACGAGTGGCATGGTCGGCTCTAGGATCGTACGATTTGCTCTTGACGAGCTACTTTGCCCTCGTACGTCACTGTTCTCCGAGGAGGATCGAGATAGAAGACGATGGTTGATTGATTTGAGAAAGTTTCTTTTTTAGAGTTTGGTGTAGTAAGGTTGGAGAGAGTCTGTTGATACTGAGTGGAGTGAAATGTTGAATGAAAATCTGTCCCAATTGAAAGGAGTATGTTTGGTGTGGTTGAAGATTGTATTGTGGATGCTCCCTTTTGAATTTTGTAATATAAAGTTCAATTATATTATTTTTGAAATAAATGGACGTAGTCGTTGTTGGACTATTTGGCTACCCCAAGATTGTACTAACCTTCACAATCATCAAACACAGAATGAATGTTCTTCGCTTGAACAATCCTCGTTCCTGCTCCTTGGCAAAATTGAATAAAAATGTGTTCATCCACTAAAATCACGAATGACAGTCCGTTCCAATTGTACTGCACCAAGTATGAAGAAAAATTAGACGTCTCAATCTCGAAATTTGCCATGGAATTTTGGAGCACAGTGATGTAAGAGTTAGCAGTCTCAACGTCGAGGGCCTAAATGGAAGCGAGTATACGAGAAACGCAAGGACTGATTATCGAGCGTCGTATTTCCTTTTCCAGCTGCCTTCCCCTGAATATTTCAAAGATTCATGGCTCGAAGGGAGAGAGAGAGAGAGAGAGAGAGAGAGAGAGAGAGAGAGAGATCGTGTCGAACAGCGGCACAGAAGCGAGACATTAATATTTGTGTTTAATTAAAATAAAAGAAAAAAGAAGAAAAAACAATTTAACCAATTAATATTCCTTATGTTTTAACTGGAGAACCACACAGTCTCTTGTTGATCAGTGTTGTTCCAGACAGTTGTGAATTAGGGACACGGAGTGTTTTTATAGGGGTGTGAGGACGATGAATGACGTATGATAAAAAGAAAAAGTTCGTTTAGCATAATCTTTAAACAAATAACTCTTAACGAAGGTGGAACAATCACGTTCCATAGTATTAACAATAAGTTTCTCTATTTGAGTTGTAAAGATCGACTCGCGACGATCTTAGATCTCTTCTTCTTTTTTTGTTTTCTTTCATTCGCCTAGAATAATTTTATCATCCGCCATTCGATGTAACAATCGTTCTAGCAACGAGGAACTCGACGTTCGTTGTTGCAAAGTGTGGAACGAGAGCGGTCGAGAATGGGCTCCTGTGATAAAAAGAAAAAAATTAAACGGAAAAGAGAAACGAAACAATTTAAATGAAGAAATAAGGAGAGTAGTAAGGAAG